TAAATTGAAGCAATTAATTGTGAAATGAAAAAGAAATTCTTGAAAAAGTCACGCGATTAAAAGATCTCGATTTTTCCATTCAAACAGTAATTAAAATTAACCGAAAATTTTGTCCACTTCGTTTGAAAATTGATGAATGGAATTTATTCCACTTATTATGAGAAAAATTGATTTTTTCTCTGTACTCATTACAGACCAAACTTGACTCAATTAATTACAACAATTTACATTAATCTCGATTCAATCGAAGTGTTTAAACATTCAAACACGGTAAATTATGCTCGGAATCTGCGCAACGAGTTCGGCACGATATTCCAAGCCACGAAAGACGACCTTCCGACGTGTCCTTTCGAAAAAAATACGAAACGACCGCGTTCGCGGTGCTAACCAGGCGAAGTCGCAAATTAGACGAGGACGCGGAGCACCGTGCAATTATCCAGCGAAACGTCCGCAGCTAAGCCGAAGAGCGCGCGGAGGCGTGATTAATACTTGTCGCCTGCGAGACCACGTTTAGGCGAGGCCGTTTGTACAGGTATACTTACGGCGCTGTTCTCGCGGAGGAACTCACCGGGCGGATACTTGACGTAGCTGACGGTGATGTAGTGAGCGAACGGCACCGCAACAACCAGGGCCACCAGCCACACCAGCAGGATGATTCGCAGGGGACCATTTATGCTGGTCGCGTAACGACGAAGCGGATGACAGATCGCCAAATACCTCTCGAACGAGAACGCGACGATCGTCAGCACCGAGACGTAAGAGGACCTTCGGAACCAGAAGGGAAACAGCTCTTTAGAATAGAGGACATCGTCATCGATCGAAGCGCGCCAAGATCGCCAATTGGTGTTCTTGCGGACTCACGATTCCGATATGTAAGCTCGCAGCTTGCAGATCGCTAATCCCCATTTCCACGGGTACTGCTCCCACAGTTGACTCAACTCGAACGGTATCCCTGGAAAAGAATCGGAAACCTTTCATCGGACGGAAGACCGATCGCGTGGCCGTTTTAATGGGACGAAGGGGATATCTTGTTGCGCCGGCTATAGGTCGCGATGGATCGACGCGATTAGGGACCGGTCGCTTCATTAGCGCATTATGTATACGCGGGACAGGTATTAAACGCTTACCGTACCATTTTCTTCGCGATCACGATGATTAGAACTTTTTTTCATGAGAATTCGAGACGATTTCTTAAATAAATCGGCATCATTTCTTCGATGAAACTTGTGAACAATGAAATTTATGTTTATTGTAAATTGTCCCTAATTAATCCTCAGCTTTTAGGCGAAAATGGATAATTTGGGAAGAGGAGATACGATTATTTATTGTTACCTTTTATTATTATTCTTGTTTTTATTATTTATCGTTACTTTTATTGTTTTTACTATATTATATTTATAGTTACTGATCGTCAACAACTATGAAGACGAGTCGCAAGGCTGGAATTCCTCTTCTTCCCAAATTGTTAATCTTTGTTTCCAAGCTGAGCGCCAATTAGGGAGAATTTTGGCAAGGGGTTAATATCTTTCTAAAAATTTACTTTAATTGATTTTGTTGTACACTTGAAAGAATCCCGTTTGAAATCCTAAAAATCCTCGTCATATTTTTGTTGTATTCTTGTCATTAATTATTATAAATAGCAATATTGTATAATCGTGCATTAATTTATACATCGACAACGAAGGTTTTCAACGCTATTCATGGCAAAGGCGTCTAAAGATACGTCTAAAAATTGTTATTTAATCCTTTCACGGGCACAATATGAATTTTCAAGATGGCGGCACATTTCAACGCTGAGAACATTTGGGCCTGATGCCCACATGCGTACTAAAAGTGGGTGGAAAGCTTAGTTCCGAGTGCCTATTAAAGGGTTAAAATAATCCTGCGAGTTTAATCACTCTTTCTCAATCGACTTCTCAGCTTTTCCCATCGCGATCGTTGAACTAACAATTTCATTAGACGATTATTTAAAAAATCGGCGCTTCTGAAACCGACGGGAGGTCGAAACGTATTTGAAACGAGTTCTCGATACCAGAAGCGAAAGCTTTTGTTAAAACGAAATGGGAACATTGTTGAATCGCCGAGAAATAATAATAATTACTGTAATATTATATATATTATATTATATATTATTATATTATATTATATATATTATATATATATATATATATATATATATATATATATATATATATATATATATATATTATTATATTATATTACATTATAATTATTATATTATATTATTATATAAATTAATAATTACTGTAATATTATTTTCTTAAAAATAGTGCATCATCCAAAAGAGGATTTCAAGGTTTACTCTCGGTAGAAGCTTACGACCGGGTTCCCGGCAGTCAAGGTATTAAAACGAACGAAAAACCAGCGCGAGGGTTTTTGTTACACGACGCGCGGTGGGGAACGGCGCGGTCGGAGTTAAATTAAAACCGACATAATTTCAATCGTTAATCATTCGGCAGCGAAACATTCTGTTTGCCTTTTCAAAGCGAATTTAGAATACACAATTATCCGAAATGGTTGTGCAAGCTATTGGAACGTTCTAAAGCTAGTATACTCGTTTATGAATATTTGATGTCGCGTTTGTGTATTTCGGGAGGGGGGGGGGGAATTTGTGTGTTTCGGCACGTCACCGGAATCGCGTTATTTATGCATACTTAACTGGAACCGTCGCATCGCCGGGCTATCGACTGCACGAAACGGAGCAATGTCTTTGAGGGGGTTCGCTTTTATCTATTTTCTTCTCGGATACGTGCTGCACCGAGCTGGAAACTGGCTTGCGGAGTGCACAGGGCCAACTACGGTATTTCACGAGGCTCGTCTCGGAGGATTCCTCCGCCAGTTTTAGAGACAATTCTGCGCGTCGCGAAAAAGAAATAAGGAACCGGGGGAAAAGGGGTGGCACTGCGATCGAGTTCGACGTCGAGGAAACCGGTCAGGAGCATCGATCGATTCAAATTTTTAATTTAATTAAAGTTATTTATTTTATTAAAGGTATTTAATCGTCGAATAGTCGAGGATCGAATTAATCGATTGCTGAATGTAATCGTCAGTCGTTGATCAAAGGCATTGATCATCGAGAAATCGACGATTGAGACAATTAAAAAGAAAAAGACAATTAATAATTGATTTTTTAATGAAACCGATGAGTTTGAATTACTTGACAAATTTGAATTACTCGATTTTGAATCACTGAATAAATTTGAATTACTCGATAAATTTGAATTACTTGATAAATTTGAATTACTCGATAAATTTGAATTACTGAATAAATTTGAATTACTCGATAAATTTAAATATTCGATAAACTGTTATTCGAGCTTCGCGCATCGTTTTTTACTTAATATCTTTAAAGATATTGGCTATTTTTCTCTGCGCCGAGGATCAGAGAGAATCGAGTGGAACTTCTATCGATCCATTTTAATGCTTTCTTATACTCAATTTAAGAACGAATTCAATTTTTCCCGTCCTCGGAGCTATCTTCGCTATTGCTATAGCTGCGGAGAAGGTCGCATCGAGTACCTATTATACACATCGAACTCACTCACACCTTTCTCTCCGTAGGATTTAAGCCGAGATTACCGAAGCACTGTACGGCGATGCTATTTCTGAATCTAATCTGATTGACTATACGGTTTATTTAATTGCAGCACTGTGTCACGATTTCGAAATAAACAGCCGTTTTCTCCGTCTTCTCGCGGCCAGTTGCAATTTAAGTCTGCCAATGCGAGAGATTTGTTGCCGCAGTAATGTCGCGACGAAAAATCGGCGGTCTTATTTATACGTTCGAGAAATATTGATAAAACATTGCCTTCTTACTTAACGAAAAATTACTATCACCGTCTATCCTTATTATGTACGACACCATATTAATAGCACAAGAAAATATTACAACACTTTTGCAAACGATCAGTTTGATGATAAAGATTTCCAGAGCAATTTCTGAGCACTTAGGAACCCCTCGAATCCGTTTGTTTATTTTCCACCCTCTAAAGATGCAAGTAGAATTCATTAATAAATTAACATTGTTGCCTGCGTCGTGTTAACGAAATATTCTTGCTCATTAAGTATTTTATTACAACGAGATGTATTTCGTTAGAGACGTCCAATTAATTCAAAACCGAATGCAGATGCAGCGATTGCGTCACCGCGCTCGCAGAAGTGCAACGTGCACCGATCGCCGTCAAAAAATGTTTCCGGCAGGAAATATATTATTTCGCGGACGAACACGTGATCCATCAGATGGAACAGGATTTCTCGAAAGTGTACAGCCACTCTCGAATTAATAAGAATGGCTCTGATTGCATCACCGTGCTCGCCGAAGCGCGACGAGCGCCGTCTTCTCATCAGCCGAACACGCCTCTGTGAATTTTCTTCGGACAATTATATTGTGCAGTGTCCCCAACCGTTGACCTGCCGAATAAATTTCTGCCGGGGCCCGTTCATCCAACGAGCCGTTATCTTTCCCCGTGCACCTCAATTAATTCAACAATTACGCCCGTCTATTTGCGTGGCCCGGTCCACGGGCGCCGAATTTATTTCGACGGGCACAGCTTTCGAAAGTTTGTCCGACAACAGGAACACCGCAATCCCGAGTACGTACGCCGCGCGAGACCGCTGGTTTCTGGTCAATATTTCCACATTCCGTGGATATTGTTTCGCAGTCTATTCAAGCTGTGCTCCTCGGAGTTCCTTCCAGTTGCCTCCCGCCGGGAAAAACGAAACACCACGATCGTGGTCGGAATTATTGAGCGGTGAATTTCTGTGCGAAATCAGTTTACGCGGTTGCGTTTCGGTTTACTCTGACTGCATTAGGATTTCGACTAATGAGGGAGCGTATTGAATTTCCGTTTAGACGATTCTCCGGCTCAACGTGTGCTTGCTTTTTTATCGAGCATTTCACATCAGCGGAGTTAAAGCAGCGCGTTTAACGCGGACCAGGATCTTTTTTGGGGACATTAAAAACAATAGAAAAGGAAATTGGAGATTCCTCAGGTCATTCGAAGCAATTTTTTCCTTTACAGAAATTTGCTCCGAGGCATCGTTCACGAGTTATTAACGGAAAACACTGACCAATGAGGGGTGAGCTCGGCTCGACGGCGGACGCAGCCCGGTTCTGCTCACTGGCTCGGCCGCCACGCGCCAGCCGAGCTCGCTCCTCATTGGTCACTGTTTTTCGTTAATAACTCGTAAACAAAGCCGCGGAGAAAATTTTCGTAAAGGAAAAAGTTACTTCAAATGACCTCAGGAACCCAAAAATACCATAATTATGGGACACCTTGTATAACACGGTTTCACACAGCTCGGCATTTTCTAGGAACCTATTTACCCTGTTATAGAAGGGTTACCTGTATACCGAAAGTGCGAAGAATGAAATTTCGTGCTGATATTTTATTATTTGAACAGTTAAATCACTCGTTCGCAATCGTCGAGACTAGATACGCAATTCCGATGTCTCCAAAATGGCGGTATTCGCCTTCGAGGGGGCTAACACTGTTGCGAAATAATTACAGGATTTAGCCGAAGCAAATAAAACGACTGTCGGAAAATTGATTTCGTTAACAGGGCAAATAAGAGCTCCGTAATTATACGATCAACCGAGATAACCGAGAATTATGGGCACGGAGGGACGTAAAACACGCGAATTTAATTTCCAGCTTGATAACACATAGTTTTTCAGGAGGAAAATATGATGGATAAGAGATCACGGTTAACGAATACAATTTTATTCGATGCTATCGAATAAACACGTAATCGAATACTTTATCTGATACAGATACGTCTGAATAAGATTTCATAAGCATTCATTCGAAATTCATTCGTACAGCAATTCGTACGGAAAATAATCGATTAAAGTTTACCGATTTAAATATTTCTTTTCAATAATTAACTTTTTTTTCCAAATGTTGCATCGGAAAGTTTGTTGCTTTTAAG